GCTTAGGGCACGCCACACTTAGGTTTTGTACATAAAGATGCTTCGAAAATTTTCCTTCCGCACTTTTCATCTCAAAACCATCACATTGACCTCTCTAGGTATATCAACACCTCTGGGCCGGAGGAACGTGAAAAAGAAGTCATTCTGGATGAAACTGACGACTTATGGGTTGAGCTGCGTCATCAACACATTGCGGTCGTTTCTCAACAGGTAACCACACTATACCGCTGTCGGTCGCTGGCCTGTGTCTCGCCAGTTACTTGAGGACTTCACTCCTTAACTGCTTTACAGCATAAATACCAAGTTATTATATTTGTCTGCTCTTCTTTGGCCCTCAGGTGACCAGCAAGTTGAAGAAATTTGCAGAGGAGAAGCGGATGATTAGCACTGGTGACAAAAACACGATGCGTGATTTAAGCCAGATGCTCAAGAAAATGCCACAGTATCAGAAGGAACTATCAATGTACTCAACCCACTTCCACCTGGCCGAAGATTGCATGCAAACGTACCAAAACTACACGAACAAGCTATGCAAAGTGGAACAGGTATGGTAAACTTCTAAACTATTCTATTCTGCATTTGCATGCATTTAAAATGTTTTGACTGTTCTTCACGACGACCACTGCGTAAATGCTACCATATTTATCTGAAATCGGCTAAGAGGCTGGAAGCCTTGCATAGTAGTGGTCCCATCATTCCCCATGTTTTTGCGGTATCAAGACTAGACCAGGTTTACTGGTTGCAAGCTAGCCAGACATTTTGTCCCCGTCTTACACGTACTTCGCACCTTCTGGTTCCACTATACCACGCAATACATGTTTGGGCGCTTGTTGTTGACATGCATCAGACCTAAACTTCACGCGACGTCGGTCATTGTCTCAATCTTAGCTTCGGTTGAGTCGACCCGAATTTGCTCCTTGTATAGAAAGGGGAATAGAGATAAAAACAACTCCGATATTAAGGTTCCTTTCCTCATGATGACTCGACGCAATCGCCGCTAAGATAAATCTGTCGCGTTTAACCTATCACGGAAGGCTATCACAGGTGGATAAACCATTCGCAGTTGGCAGACATTCGATTGCATTGCTGCAGTTGATACTGATTCCACATTTCCTCCCACCTAGCTCCAAAAACTGCTGCTTTTCTCAGTAGTCCTACCCGTGGTCAAGTCTCCCTCAATCTATCTTCATCAACTGACCAACCACACAATTTCTCGTTTCGTTATCTGCTACAATTGCGCCCCTGGACATGCGTCACCTGCTCAGCTTTATATCTCCTGTCCCAAAACATATTTAGCAGCCTTTCTTCGGCCATATATCGTGTTCAACAAGCACTTAACATATATTTAAACGCGACCCACCAAATATATTCGCTCGCTACCCAAACAAAAAACCGAGGTAGGGTGGTGGCCGTCTCCTATTATGACCAGTGACGTAGATTGCTACTGCTCCCGGCCGTCTGAGACACAGAACTTATCCTTCAGTGGCGTGTGTCGCGGGCCCAACCAAACAGTAATCAAACGTACAAGTAGATAGGTCTCATAACAGCGGCCTCTTTGCCGTTTATTATCCTACAATACCCACTTCTTTCCATCGAAAAGGAGGAATTTTGATCCTAAGTCATATTTGCTGCGTTTGGCTCTTCTTCACTGTGTATGTGCAAACTTCCCGGCTGTTTTGTTTTCCAACCTCTTTCACTCAAATACTTTTTACTAACAAGCTCAGCAATCACAATTTGAAAGTCGACAGTATTGTCGGCAAAGACAAGAGAGACTGGAATGTGGCCATTTCTGGCTTATTAGCTGTCGTCAGCCAGTCATACCCAGCTCCAAGTGGTGCACCATCCGAACCTCGAGCTCGCAACCTCTCGATTAGAGTCTAACGCCCTAGCCATTGAGCCACGAGCTCATTGTCTTACTGCTTACTGTTGTTGGACGTTCACCGACCGCTAATGCAAATCACGTGTCCAGCCCCATCTTTGCCTTGGGTCTCATTTCTCGGGCGTTAAGAGCAGCTGCAGCCGGCAAACACAAGGGAGACTGGAATAGCAATAATATCTGCCCAGACTGCTAGCTGCTACAGCTGCTGTCAGGACCCGAGAAATAAGGCCCAAGTCAAAGGCGGAGCATGACAAGTGAGTTCCGTTAGCGGTCAGTCAATGTTATGTAACGAATCTGAAAACCTTTAACAGAAGACGGACTTGGACCATCGGACCACAGGTACTAACACTGAGCTCATAGAGCGAACGAAAGAGAGCGTGCCGAAGTCATCCCGGTCATTTAATATGTGCTACTACATGCAAATGAATTATTTTAATCGAAATCCATAGTTTTCGGATAACGATGCATATGGCATAACTTTCATAGTCACAGAGGAATGCCCAAATGTATACCCCATGCAGGTTGGTATTTATTTTTGGTCGCGAGATTGCCAGTAATGCATAGACATTTAGGGTGTCTTATGAAAACTCCGCGAACAGCATAGACTCGGTGTGGACCCGTTTGACAGCCCGACTGCCTGAGTTATTTAAACCGACTTATTTGTCGACGTTGCTCATCAGAGGCAGTAGATTATGTAGGTCACCATAGCATGGTGTTGGCAGGATGGCATCATCAGTGTAGTCGGTCTCAGCCAGCCGTCGTCCTAGCATACATTCGTAGCAACCATAAACGTATATAACTCCTCCAAGAACTCAGTCAGCCGAATAGACGATTTGGTATAACCCTATCCAACCTCGGACTGAGGATACTTTTTATGACCCTGAGTTCGTGTACGGGTAAAGCAATGTTGGACGATAATTTTCGCCGGTTTTCTGTCTAGCTCCGTTGGCCGCCACAGGCACCAACAACGAAGACAACGACAGAGTCAGCAAATTAGGTGGTTGTTGGTAGCCATGGCGGAATTCAAAAGTGTGTCACCACGTAAAAAAAACTGGTCGCTGGGTCCACGTCCAGCTTTGTTGGGTCTCGTCTTAGCGCTGTGCATTCGCAAAAATCGCCCGAGAATGACAATACAGTCACATTAGCGTTGCTTATATCGTGTTAGTTCTTGCATTCTGTGTCCTATTTTCTTTCCTGAAGACAGGCATAGCGATAGCCGCGTTCCAGTTATCAGGAACCGGCCCATCTCCACTCTTATTCAACGGCCTCCTGGGGCGATGGCGCCAGTCTGTCGACAGGAGACTTATTGACTTTAGCGAGACGACTGCACACTCGATGCATCGTGTTTTTGTGAAGTTTCAGTATTTCTTTGACATTCATTTCCCGGAAAAGGGGACACATAACACTGTATAGACTGGAAACGAACACAACTCTGGAACTCATTGGGAGTTTTAAGTGTTCACACGAAATCTCAGCCTTTGCCTAGTCATCAGCAGAATGCAGAGAGCTTACCACTACTTTGGTGAATCATTTGGTATTTTTCGGGTGTCACCGACGTTTGACATCTGCACCAAGGAGTTGACCACTGCGGTCATCTGTAGTCGGTGTTTTTTTCCTCTTGCGGATTTGTTGGAGGGGGAATCATCTTGTCTGGACATAGCTCGGGCTCTCCGGGCAGACAACTGAAAACTTTCTAGCTAATCTTGTGATTGCGGCGGCGCTGCTAGGTCGACCCAATAATTTTAACATCTGACTCGCAAAATGAGGACTTCAGTGCTGACCATTTTTTACCGGTTTCTCCGTTGACTCGGGCTACTGAGCAAGACCGGATTTCTGTGCTCAGAGCTTCGGGTGGGCTGAGTTAGGATAATTCTGAAACATACAGATGCCTTGCAGCACGTGACAATTTGGCAGCGGGCGCGAGACCATCATGCATCAAAGCACGAGGCAGTAGTCTGACTGGAATGCATCCAGTCTGTCTCTCCACACGACCACCGCTAGATTACCAACTCCACAAGTGTTCAGGGGCACATCTTGGTAGGAAACAGCCGTTCATTATTGCTAAGGCCTGAACATTCATCAGAAAGTGCGGCCACTCTAGTCACCAGCAATCGATGAGCATGTCACGGCGAGCGGGGTTTTACCCAACTCTTCAAGCTGGGAGTAGAAGTTTCCCTTATAAAACTGGTCCGCGGTGTGTGTGTGTGTGTGTGTGTGTGTCGCCCATCCCACCTCAGGCAACCGATAAGCTAGGCAGTGGGGAGAGAGAGTTAGGTCGACCCTCGGCGCGTTTCTTTCTTCACTATAAACAATCTGACGCGTCTGAAGCTACGACGGTGCGCTAAAAGCCGTGGCTTGGAGGGTTGTCAACTGACTGGATAACTCGGACACCACAGTCGGTCCAGTGCGTGTCTCGTTGTGTGGAGTGACAGACTGAGAGTCTGGCTACAATGGCTGCTTTTTAATGCGGCCGTTATGGCGCTCCCACTCGGGAGCCTACCTACCTAGCGAGGCGTTCTGTTGGTACGCGTGTTGAGTGTTAGCCGCGTCAGCCACCTGTATACTCTTCCATCCCCGGCCTTCTCGACTTTTGTCTTAACATCAGGCTACGGTGTGGGAGTGATGCGAGAGTGAGGTGGATTCTGCGCAAGTCTACTTTCACTTTATTCCAACGCGAGTCACCACGTCTGCCTTCAGCCTGCTGAAGCTCGTGGTAGACATAGTCGAGAACGACAGTCAAACTGTCGTGTGTGTGTGTGTGTGTGTGTGTCGGCACATAAAGTCTCCTTTCAGTCTTACTCACGCTAGTCTGTTGTTTTTTGGTTCTGACCCTCATGCTGGAAATGCCCTGGGCCGAAAACGAGGGCATGATGAAGCCTCAGTAAGTGTTAATCGGGCAGTAATCGGGTGTGGCATGAAGCCTCCGTCTGATCCGCGTCACACACACACACACAAACACACGTCTGGTCCCTCTTTAGGTCAGCCGCAGCAACTCAAAGCGTTTTGCGATCCAAACAGGCACGTATGCACGCAAGGCCCACACCACTGTTGGCAACTGCTGTCTTGTCTGCTGTGCGATCTGACCAGCCGAGACTGTGCCTACATCAAGGTTATCCGCTGAAACGGCGTGTGGCGCCCGACTTGCGCTGTTGGTGCATTTGAATGCACTGTG